TAACATGGTTCCTTATATACTGTAACCAGAATAATAGTGCCCCAATTCAGTTTCAGTGATATTATTGTCATCCTCAAATCCTCTACCGGCTCCTCACTGCCTGTACAATGAAGTCCAGATTTTCTTCATGGCATTGACAGGTCCTATTCAGATTCCTGGAGTGTACCTTACTTTCTCTTCATAAACCCTATGCTCCAGTGCAGTATTTCTCAATCTCTTTTTCATTATTGGTCATCTTAAGGAGCCTTTTAAGACATTTATTTTTCCTTACTTGCCCCCCTAATGAAATTTTAATACCATAGATAAACTATATATCTTTTTATGTACTGTGTGTATATCTTAAAAATGTTATTTTTTTCACCCCCCAAATCAATTTTTGCCCCCTTAGGGTCAGCTGCTCCACAGAAGAAGGATGGGGCAGTCAGCTTCCATAAAGATTTATAGCCTTGGAAGCCCAATGGGGGTCGCTATGAGTCGGAATCAACTCGATGGCAATGAATTTGAGTTTAGGGGCATTGTGTCCCCTGTGGAGAATGCATGCTCTCCCCAAAACAAATCGCTAGTGAGAGATTTGAATAATCCTCTGTATGTTTTAGATTCCACATTATGCTCACTTGGGCCATTAGTAATCAGAGGAGTTGAGGGAATATGAGAAGATTCCTAGAGTGTACTTCTGCTTTTCAGCACATGGTTCCCCTTGCCTAGAATAGACTCACATCCCCGCTCCCATCTCCCCACCCCCATTCTCTTATTTCTTCCTGTTGAAATCTGACCCTTCAAGTTGTAACTCAAAAATCATTTCCTCTCCCCTGATTCCCTGAGCTGGAACTTGCTCTCATGGAAATTTCTTTAACTCTTTATTACATTCTTCTTTATTATGTAGTCATGTTTCTAAATGTTCTATCTCCCACGCTGAATTATAAATTGCTTAAATACAGGACTATCTTCTTTATAGTGTACAATGAGTGGCTTCACATAGCAGGCACCATTATGTTATTGAAAGCAATTTACTGATACATGGGAACAGGTTAAAAGGCCCAGAATGCAAAGTCTCATGTATATGCTAAATAGTGAATAAAGGAACACATTAATTGAGTAGAAACATTAGACACTACATACAATGCACACTTCTAAGCCACCATCATGAACACACAGACTATTTATAAAGTTGTTCTCTGTGTACAACACCGGTGAACAGAACTGTTTCCTGTTTCATACAAATAACAAACACACCCACAGAATGTTGTTTGAACAACTAGCTGCCTAGACATGTCTTAAATAATAATGAGCAAGATGACTAGAAGGCCCAGAAGCCAAAACATAAATAGCCATTTTGACATATGTTTTTGTTACAAAAACAAAACCTCTATTGGTTTTATTTGCCATAAGAAGAGATGTTACAAGTGGAAATATATTTTAAATGTTAGTAATCGTCATTATCACATGAGAAGTGAACAAACTGAGATGATGGGGTAGGAAAATTGATATGACATAATTTCTATGTGGGAAGTAAAGCAAGACAAGTAATACGTTTTCCAGAAAAGGATTGATAATTTGATACATTAAGCTTTTATACATACATATTGTTGTACCCAGGCTGTAAAGGAGAATTTTGTAAGAGAAGAATATGCCAACCCACGACAACGCAAATGCAATAGGACAGTTTATTAGCTAACTTAAGTTAGGGTCTTTGCCCTTACCAGGTCAGTGGCTTAAGCAAAAGACCCCGTACCCCGTTTCTTTCACCAATTTATGGAACAATATGGGGAGGGGCAGCACCGGGGCGAGGGGGTACAGGTGATTGGTTGTTGCTAAGGGATTTAGGGCAGTGATCTAAGATGTTGGGGGACGTAAAGAAACTCCCCGCCCCCCCCCTCCAAAGATCACTTAGGAAAATATTATCTAGGGAGGATGCGGCTCAGATATGTGGGAGACTTTCAAGAGTCGAGCAAATCTCTGATACGTGCTGAATCCGGGTGGCTTTTGTGATGCGTGCTGAGTTCGGAGGAAGTTCCTTGATACCTGCTGAGACTGGAGGGCAGATAAAGGCCCTAAGGAGTGTTTAGAATTACAAAAGTTCTGTTAGCACTACTGACACTAAAAAGTTTCTGGTTAAAGATTTTCCTGGAGGCTGCTAGAACTCTAGCTTCAGATTAACTCACAATATAAGCTGTTGTTGTTGTTACATGCCATTGAGTCAGTTGTGACTCATAGTGACCCTGTGTACAACAGAAGGAAACAGTGCCCAGTCCTGTGCCATCCTCACAATTGTTGCTATGCTTGAACTCATTGTTGCAGCCACTGTGTGAATCCATCTCATTAAAAGTCTACATCTTTTTCACTGATCCTCTACTTTCCTAAGCATAATGTCTCTCCCCAGGGACTTGTCCCTCCTGATAATATGTTCGAAGTACGTGAGCCAAAGTCTCACCATCCTTGCTACTACAGAGCATTCTGGCTGTACTTCTTCCAAGACTGATTTGCTCATTCTTCTGTCAGCCCACAGAAGATTCATTATTTTTCTCCAACACCATAATTCAAAGGCATCAATTCTTCTTGGGTCTTCTCATGAATTACCCAGCTTTGTTGTTGTTGTTATGTGCTGTCGAGTCAGCCCCCACTCATAGCGACCCCTCCTTGGGTTGCCGAGGCAGTATCACTGTGGAAGTAGATTGCCCAACCTTCCTTCCGAGGAGTGGCTGGTAGGTTTGAACCTCCAGCCTTCTGGTTAGCAGTCAAGTGCCTTAGGCACTATGCTACCAGAGCTCCTTACCCAGCTTTAGCACGCATATAAGGCAACAGTGATAGTTCAGTTTGTGTGTCAACTTGGCTGGGCCTGGTTGAGTGGCTGGGCAGCTGGATGTAGTATTCCCCATGATGAGACTGGTAATCAACTTCATGGTGGAATCTACTGTGAGCAGCCTTAGGGAATGTGGTCTGCTTCCTGTATATAAGCAGAGGCCTTGGGGAACGGTCTCTAGCTTATGGCACGCTTGGACCCTGCATGTGGCCGTGTCGTTGTTTAGCAGCCTGCCATGCTCTGCCGACCTGGGGACTTACAATGGACTTGAATTAATGGCCTGCTCTGTGGTTTGCTAACATCAGGATTGTGCCTTTTTACTTGTCAGCCTTGGGCTTGGCAGCCTCAGCAGCCAGCTGCTGTTTGAGTGAAGAAAAGCCTCTAGCTTCAGTGGGCCAGGAGCTGGAGGCAGAGCTAAAGCCCAAGACTGAGGGGCTTTCACCCAGCTCCTAGAGCTTGGCACTTTGAACTTGGACTTAAAGCCTCCAAATTGTAACAGAATAAACTCCTGTTTGTTCAAGCCATCCCATTTGTGGTACATTCCTGTCAGAGTGGCAGTAGGTAACCAGAACAGCAACTGAAAATACTATGGCTTGGCCAGGCGTACCTTAGTGCTCAAAGTGACACCTTTGCTTTTTACCACTTTTTTTTTTTTGCAGTAGATTTGCCAAATGCAATATGTTGTTTGATTTCTTGACTGCTGCTTCCATAGGTATTTATTATTGTGGATCCAACTGAAATCAACATGCCAAAATAAATATCCATGTAAAATGTATATACATATACATGCATATGTTTACATATATATGTTTACCTATATATTAATAAAGAAGCACTGGTGGTATAATGGATAAGGCATCTGGCTGCTAACCAGAAGGTCGGCAGTTCAAACCCTCGGAAGGAAGATGGGGCAATCTACTTCAGTAAAGATTTACAGTCTTGGAAACCCGATGGGGGTTGCTATGAGTCATTGACCTGATGGCAGTGAGCTTGGTGTTTTTATTTTGTGTATATTAATAACTTTCAAAACTTCCATATTTCGTTGTTAATTACATCTTGGAATGATTGACATTCTAGGAGAAGCTATTTCTGTAGTTTTGTATAGTTACATTTGACTTTGTCAGAGGATTAAGTATTTGTAAGTGGCATTTGGTAGCATAGTGGCTAAGACACTTGCCTGCTAACCAGACGGCTGGTGGTTCAAACCCACCAGCCACTCCCCGGAAGGAAGGTTGGGCAATCCTACTTCCCTAGTGATACTGCCTCGGAAACCCAAGGAGGGGTCGCTATGAGTCGGGGCCGACTCGACGGCACATAACAACAAAGTGGCATTTGTATTATTTATCCGAAACGGTTTATTAAGGAAATTATCAAACTTTACAGAAAACTATATACAAGTGCTCCCTACCATCCTTTGCCCCAGGACTGTCTTCTAAAGAGACCTACACCTTATATGTGCTTTTTTAAAAATCTGAGACTGACTTTTGTGAGACAATCAATGGGATAGGAAGTGTCTGAGGGAGGCATGCATGGGAAGCTTGGCAAAGCATTCATTTCCAAGGCTACACTAATTTCAGCCCTTCTGTCCACAAATGGCCATGTAATGAGTTTAGCCCCTCTGGTCCCTCAGATAAGGTAATCCTCCAGTTCAAAAGCTCCAACTGGCAATTCTATTTCCTTTGAGCTCCTAATTATTGAAAAAGAGGACTACTCACGAATCTCTTTCCTTTTACCTTTTTACCTCTTCCTTCTACCAGTCAAGCCCAGCCCAAGGTCTTAAAGCAAACAGCAGGGGCTAGGCAAGTAAGTATTTGGAGTAAACATTTAAGCCTCAGCCTCATTTAGGAGCAGAGTTATGTGGGCTTGTTTGCTTAGTTAAGTCAGGTAGGGGGTGGGGCAGGAGAAAGGAGAAGACGCGGGAGGACCGCCTCTTTGGAATGGGATTGGTTCCCTCTCTTCTTTTAGTCCTGCATTTTGCGTCTCGGTTGGACAGGTTGAAAGAATCATGTCATTAAGTTGTCAAAATAAGCCCTGTAGGTGTGGGCCGTTTCCTAGGTTTGTGGTTTTAGATTTTCAAAGGGGTGGATTTATTATTGGCTATGGGATCAGGTTTGTGAAACTAGTTTTCTCTATCTTGAAAAATGTCATCGTGACAGGCGGCGCCAAGCAGCTTAAGTGTAACTGACACACCGTAAAGAAAATGGCAAAAGTTCCTCAGGGGTTTGATTTCAGTTTCTTAAATGACGAAGAAGCCAGGAAGATCCTGCAAGTGCTGGAAAGAAATGAGGAGCTACAGAGGGCAGAGAAAGAGAGGATCAGGTACAGAGCCAATTCCTTTCTCTTTTCTCTGTACCTGGGTCCAGCAGTGGCCCTAGGGTGGGCGGCTTCCCTAGAGCTGGGTGTGCGCGGGGGTAGCGCGGAGCCCTGGCGCCCCACCTGTCGGGTCAGCTTTCGGGCTCCGCGATCTTGATCATGCGCTCTGGACCGAATCTGCGACGAGGGCAAGAGACAAACTAGTTAATCTATTCTGAGCTTCATTCTAAAAGACTTTGGGACGCCTGCTGTTCCTTCCACTCTTGGCATCTAGGTGGGCTCGGTTGCGACCTCGGGTTCTGCACCGGGGAGAGTGGCCAGAACCCGGCCCAGCTGGCGCGCTCTGCAATTGGTGTTTCTCGGATGTGTTCCACGCGGCAGCCCGGCCCTGGGTCTGGACACGTGGGCGGCGACCAGCTGCGCAGGGTCGGGGCAAGGTGGACGTCCGTGCAGTAATGCGGCGCTTGCTTATCGTACACCTGTGCAGTCCTGGGGCTTGAGCCAAGGTGACACGTGAATTGGGATGGGGACCACCAGATCTCTCTCTCCTCAGTCCTTCTCTCTCTCCCCGCCCCACCCTTTTTGGTAGCACCTCACCAACAGGAAACTTTCCCACCTCAAGGAAAAGAAGCTTGTGTGGGGTTAACCTGGCTGGGCCGGGACCCACGTGGTTGCCTGGAGTGGGTGGGGCTTTTTGTGTGTTGTACTGTGGGAAGGAAGTTTCTGCTAATGTTATCCTTGACCTTACTGCACAGTGTTGTACGTGAGGGATTGTTATCAGTGAATGGAATCCAGAAAGAGATAGTTACCTGGGATGTAAATTAACCAGTTTTTCTGTCAGGGAAGTATGTGTGTGTGAGGTAAATCCTGGAAAGAATTAAAGAGACTCTCTTACTAATCCTGGAAGAGGCTGATCTCAGGACTTCTCTGGGGTCCTTGGATGGTTCAAATGAGTTAAGGTGTTTGGCTACTAACCCAAAGCTGAAGGTCCACCCAGAGGTATCTGTTAAGAAACTCCTGGTAATATGCTTCTGAAAAACCAGTGATTGGAAACCTTACGGAGCACAGATCTACTCGGACACACGTGGGGTTGCCATGAGTCAGAGGCCACTGGAAGGAAATGGTGAGGCCTTTTCTAGTTGACTGTGGAAAGGAATTCAGATCATAACCCTCAGGCCAAGAAAAGTGGCATTGATTGAATTTAGAAAGCCATTTTCTCTTGAGCAACTGTTGGGTGATGTGAGTTCTTAGTTCCCACCTCCTTCCAAATATTCCCCCAAAACCTGTGAGCACCCTTTTCAAATAGGGAAGCTTTAGTTTGTCTTTGTAGAAGGGTTAGAATGCACTAGGCCTACAGCTCTGTCTTTACTCTTCTCCCCTAGATGTGACCCTCCAAACCAAAACCAAATTCACTGCCATCTAGTTGATCCCGACTCATAGAGACTCCCTTTGGGTTTCTGAGGCGTAAATCTTTACGGAAGTAGATTGTCCAGTCTTCCTTCCACGGAGTGGCTGGTGGGTTTGAACTGCCAGCTTCCTGGTTAGCAGTCAAATGCCTTAAGCACTACCCCACCAGAGCTTCTAGATGTGACCCTAGGGGGCAGAAATGAATATTTGAAAACTATGGGTGTGGGTTTTACCCCATTATACTCTGGTTCCATGAAAATAGGGCCTGCCATCCCCCTAAATAGTATAAAAGTGTGCCCTCATGAACACTGTATGTCCACTCCACACACACGTATGCATATGCCCACAACATATGCACATGCACCACACACAGGAACCACACAAAGGCACACCTAACTCTGGGAAGAACTTTAGCACCCCGTGGAGTTTGGCTTCAGCACATATTTCAAAAGGACTGAGACTGTGCTGCTCTGAGTGTATGTTACTGGAAGTGTTTCTTGTCTCTCTAGAGGATGGTGACTAAGAATACATATCCTACAGTTTGTCAAAAATATAGAACTAGAGTGTCATGCAGGATTGGAGATGTCCAGAGATGGATGTTAAAGCCGAGAGAGTGGTTGAGTTCACCATGACAGGACTCAGCAGCCCACCAACAGACATGTTCCTGAACACACAGAACTTTACCCTGATTGCTCCTCTTCTGTACCAGACCTCTCTGGCTCCAGCTTACTGGGAAAATATTTGCATTGAATGCTGTAGTTAATATTTATAATATATAAAGTGTTTACTCGAATTTTCAAGAAAAATACTAAGATTCTAACTGATAAACAGGCAAAAGATAGGAATAAATCATTAACATTAGAAGATATCCAAATAGTAAACAAAACATGGAAATATGTTCACCCTCACAGTAATAAAGGACAATTGAAGTAACCCCAAGATACCATTTTGTCCCTATAAAAATATCAGAAAAAATTATTGATGAGGGTTGGAATGAACTTGATAGGTTCAACTTATTGTTAGTGGCATTGTAAGTTGAATATAATTGTTTCGGTGAATAATATGGCAGTATGGCCTTACCCTTGACCTAATAATCCAATTCTTGGATGTTTCTCATTAGCAGGAGATTGAGGTGGAGGACATGGCCACACCAACATTTACTAAGTGCTAGCTTGTTATATAATAACTATTACTGTGCTAATAATAACAGCTAACATTTATTGGGCCCTTACTGTATACTAAGCACTTTTCTAAACATGTTCTGTATCTTTGATTCATCTTCCCAATAATCACATTAGGTACATATTTTAATTCTCATTTCACAGAGAAAGAAACGGAAATGACAGAGATTGAGAATCTTGTCCAAGTTAGGCAGCAAAGCCAGAACTCAAATTCAGGTCTCTCTTTAAAAACCATTTTACCTATCAACATAGAATTAATCCTCACAACTCACTCTTGGGGTGAGTATTATTAACTTTTTTTTTTTTTTTTTCCCACAACAAGGAAATTGAAATTTAGCAAGGTTAAGGAACTTGTCCAAGGTCACACAGGTTGTAAATGGCAGAGCTGGAATTTGAACTCAAATCTATCTGGCTCCAATATCCTTTTCTGTATATCATGATTTTTTCCCAGAAGAACTAATTCAGTAAGAAAAAACAAGATATGTACACTCATATTAATTGCAGCATTACCTGTAATAGCAAAATAGTAGGAAATTTCAAAGCTCAGTATCCAACAAGACAGCAGTCATTGCAAATGACAATTATGAAGAAATAATTATCTCGATAATTATATATTGGTCACTAACTGCCTTGATTTCTTATAGACGCCTCGAGCTTTCCTTGAATACAACTGAGGAAAATCCTCATGAGACCTTGTTATGTGAACAAGCAAAATACAAAATGGTACCCTATGCTATTATTGCAAGCTTCTTAAGGTCATCTGTGCACGGGCACAGCAACTTGAAGAAGATGGGCAAAAATCTATGCTGCTCCTTTTGATGAATCTCCAGGGCCTGATGCAGCTCTTGGCACACAGTGAGCATTCGGTTATAGTTTGCTGAAAGGCATGGCCTTGCACTGACAGCTGAGAGGGCCTGTGCTCCTGCCCTCAATCCACCCTTGCCAAGACTGAAAGGCAGACCTGGGGAAAGGATCTGTTACAGCCTGGGCAGGACTGCCAGCAGATAGTACCTCTAGAGGCTCTCAGAAAGCTCTGAACAGAAGGGTATAGGATTTCTTGGTAGAGGAGAGGTGTCTGCACGTTATAGGACTTCAGTAAATACTTGATGAAGGAATTAATTATCCAGGCTGGCTGAAATCAGAGGCCTCTGCAGGCCTTAGCTCTTCTCTCCACTTCTCACGTTCAATTTGTTTTCAGGTGTGATTTCTCCCTCCTTTGAACCCTGTAACACATTATAATGTCTTGTATTACAGTTTATTCTAATTTTTCTGTGAGTCTGGGGATATGCTACGGAAGTACTCTGAGAGCCTAATAAAAAGGTAGAAATCAGAATTTCAGTTTTAATCTGACAATTCCATTTCTAGTTGGATTATGGAAAGGACTTTGACTGGAAGTATTCACATGGCGATGATTTCTCAAGCATTGAACAGTCTCTGGACTAATCTCAGTGAAGAGAAAGGACAAGAGTTTGAATCATAGTTTATTGACAAATGGAGATTTTCTAATAGTTCTCTCACGTCCAAAGCAGGGTGGGGGTGGGGGTGGGGGAAGGGATTGTATACGTGGGTTTTTTAAAAAAACTGAAAGCATCTTACTTTTTACAAGTCTTTGGGAAATGTGACTATCTTCCCCACCCCTACCACCCCATCTTATAAATATAACTCTGAAACAGAGAGTACCGAGAAATTATATCAACTAGTCAGCCCACATAGGGAACTCTAGTAGCATAGTGCCTAAGGCACTTGACTGCTAACCAGACAGCTGGCGGTTCAAACCCACCAGCCACTCCTCAGAAGGAAGGTTGAGCAGTCTACTTCTGTAGTGATACTGCCTCAGCAACCCAAGGAGGGGTCGCTATGAGTCCGGGCCGACTTGACGGCACATAACACAACAACAACAGTCAGCTCACAGAAGAACTGATAAAGAAAACTTACAAAGTACAAGATGCTGCAGCCCCTGGTGTAATCAAGTTGAAAAATGGCATGTCTAGATTTAGACAATCTTTGCTCGATGGCAAGATTACAGCCCAAGAGGGTTTTCCAGAATTCTGTTGTTTCTGATTGATTGATGTTAGTATCCTCGATCTGCTGCTCAGTTCTGAAGGGGACTGTATATATTATTAAAGTTGTAGTTATCAGTAGTTGGTGAAAACTTCAGCATCCTGCAGAGATTATAAACCAGAAACACATGCCTCCTCTCTCTCTCTCTCTTCTAGGCTTTCTTCCTGCCCTCTCTCAGCCTCTGAAATGCCTCTAGCTAAGAGATAGACTGTTAGTAAACACTATTTATTGGGTACCTTCTATGTTGGCCCTGGGGATATAGCAGAGAGCCAAATACAGATTCTGCCCCAGATTGCTTAGGTCTATGAAAGTGTTTAAGAGCAAAGATGTCACATTGAAGACTAAGGTGTGCCTGAC